GGCCGAACAGACTGGCATGAGGCCTCAGATGAAGGATGATGGCCGAACAGACTGGCATGAGGCCTCAGATGACGGATGATGGCCGAACAGACTGGCATGAGACCTTAGATGACAGATGATGGCCGAACAGACTGGTGGCAGCTAATCAACAATGAGAATCCAGTGAGGGCAGGAGACAGGTGGCGCATACAGTCACTGGAATAAAGCATGAGAAGGCAAGGAGACGATCTGGTCGAGAATGACTGAGAGAAGCAGGTATTATTAAAGTAATATTTGTAGTGACAGTGATTAGGAAAGAGATATGTGCATCTGCTTTCTTTAATAAACAGCATGGAAGAGAACAGAGTGGCAGGAAGCATGCTAGCCCAAAAGTAATCAATCAGAGACAGGCTGCATGAAAATCAGGTGTCAGAATTGTAATGTATTTTATGCCTTTCCTACCTTACATTCAAAGGCCAAGCTAACAGCCTCTTCTTGTATGGGTCTTAGATGTGCTGTAGATTTATACGTGTTAAAAAACAGCTGGTTCCTTCGAATGTCACCTCATTCTTTTTTGGGAAAAAGGACCGATTTATTGGCAATAAGTCGCTTCATTCGTTTTCTCTGATTATATCAGATTATATGATCAATTTTATGTGACTGTATTTTAATTTCAATTCACCAGTCCTTGAATGGAATTGGCTCTGAATATTAGTATACAGATTTGATTTAGATGTAACAAACAGGGTAGCATTTATTGTGTATTTCTATGTAATGTTGTATAAATTCAGGAATATTGCAAACTAAGCTAGACTTTCAAACTGTTAGGCTATCATACTAAAGATGGGGTAACATAACCCACAATCCTGATTAGGTAAACAGAGGACACCAGTCAATCCCGGTTACACATAAGAGGTAATCATGCATATACATATTCAGATATAAAGCAATTTACCTATTGTAAAGTTTAAAAAATGACAAAACATTTTTTTCAGTTTGACTTGCTTTGAAAGTCATTGTTAAGCTGCATATCTTTATTTGCTCGAACACAGTGGATTGCTCAAAAACACCTTAAGGCACAGATGTAACCTTAGCAGTTTAGTAATGACTGGACGGTCATACAAAGAGAAAACCTGTCAAACGTAAAATAATTTAAAAAGTAAAAAAATAAATAGAAACTTAAATAATTAAAAGTAAAACTACTGGATACACGGGGTTGAAATCTGTCTCTCTTTAAATCTGACTAAATAAAATGTAATACGAAACAAAACACCTTAACTATCTTAGGGCTGACGTCGAGATGACTGTTTTTTCTGTTGAGCTTTTTGCAAACTTCAGAGAGTAAATAACTTCTGCTTAAATGTCAATTCATCAATATATTGAAAACTTAACAAACATGGTGCTGGGTAAAAGAGATCTACTGTATTATTAAAGAAGAGAAGTCTAACAATCAGATCATTAGAGGTATTCCGCCTTTTTTCTTACAGGATGTGACTATTGCCTGTGACTCCACCAACCTGTAGATAGCAGAGGGGTGTCAGTCAGTATCACTTCCTGCCTAACTTGGGAGGAGGATGGGCACTACAGTTGAATAGGACTCAATGTAACCTCTAGGCTGTTGTGTATGATAAAATTTCTGGTCTTTTTGAGTCTTTTTTAGATGTTGGAATACAATGCAAGAGATGCCATCATATTATTGGTTAGTCACTAAATGTAAAACTCTAAAGGAAAACCTTAATGGTAAGAAACTTTAGTAGATGTATGATGGGAAAATAGCATTTGACTGGAACATGATAATATTGCTTAACTTAGCAGCTGCAACTATCTTAAACCCCTAAAAAGTAAATTTCTCCACAGTGAGATAAATAAAGTCAATCAATCGAACCTGGAAAAAAATCTTCATTCAACCTATAGAGTCTGTACTCTCCCAAAAAGGGGTGTGGCCATTGCATAAGGGCTGAGTACATAGATGTTCTGATCATGAGACAAAGACAGGTTAATGTAGGTGGTCTGCAAAGATAGTTAGTGTAATTTCTTCCTCAATATTATTATTATTAACAGGTGTCTTTCAAGAAACTTAAGGACAACTCTCAAAATATTTTTTAAAATGGGTCGTAGTTCTTGAGTGGATATCAGTTTAAAACTGCTCTACAATGATTTAACAAACCTAGCAGGTGGATTGTAGAAATATGACCAAGGTCACACAAACTTTCTGCACCCTCACCAATTCCCCTCATAAATCTTATCTATGCAGTGCATCTGTGCATCACACTTTCTGAATGTTATTCCTACCAATAGATCTGTGAAATTATCAAACTTCAGCTTAGTAAACTATAAAGGTTGTAGATGGAATATATCATTATTGCTTTAATCATCACTCGCTTTTTGCACAGGGGTGGTTCAACAAAATCAGTTGAGTTATTGTGTTATCTAATGGTTTTAGACAGAAACTACCACACAATTTTTAGTAATTCCTAGTGGGACTTTACAGTAATTTGGAGACATTTCTTTAGACTCCCTCCAGCTAAACCAGCTAAACCTTATGATGTAAGAAACATTACATCAAGAAAGGGTTATTCCCCCTATATAACGTGACATTTAGCCCACAGAATTAATCTAAATAACAAAGGAATGTGTGAGAAGAAATATTGAATAAATACCAATAAAATTTGTAGAACGTTTGCACAATTGAACGTAGTTGTTTGAAACACAACCGGTTTAGCTTATTTGTTTTTCTCAAATTTGCTGGTTTGCATTCTTTGCAAAAGTATTGGTTGTGCACAGGTTGCAGAATCATATATAATTGGGTGAAATATGGGATAATGGTGACCTTACAAAAGATGTACATTTTTCCAAGTTGCAAAGAAGAAAGGAACTTGATACAGTTGGAACAGTATGAATTCCTTCCTAGCACTGCTTGAGTTCTACAGTTAGTGTTGAATGACAACGATCTACTATTTTATCCTGGTAGTCTAAAATAATCTCCTAAACCTTGAGGGTGGAATGTGATATGGTTGCATGTAGCTCAATTTAAACCTTTGTCCACAGGCCTAAAAGGCAAATTTCACACAACAACTCCACTAGATAGTTACAAAGAACACCATACCCAGCGTAAAACACAGTAGTGGCAACATTATGATCTGGAATAACTTTCCAAAAGACAGAACTAACTCAAGATATTAAGCTGTGTGCATGAAACCTAAAGATGAAGGGAGATTTTAATTTCTATAATCCCAGTGAGTCCAAACATATCTCCAATCAACCAAAGGAATATTTCATCAGGGAAAGATTAACGTTTCCATGTGATCTAGCTTCAATCCAGAACTAAATTTAACAAAAAAATCTGAGGAGAGGTGTATAGAAAATGTTAAACCAGTGTGATATTACAGGGGACAAATCATTAAGACCTTTGTGGTGGATGATCCTCCCACCACCACATCATGTTAGTATTTTCTTTTCTTGCTTTATATTATATTACAATTTATGTTTAAGTTGGTTATTTTAGACAGGTATTTTCTAATGGGTGCACACTTTAGTTAATGTCTGTCTGGTTTATTTACACTTGTTCTTTTGTTTGAGGTGCTGCTGATACAAACCAGCTGGAGAAGGAAATCTGGAGCGTACCATCTTTGAAAGACTGACGGGGGAGACTTGTTTCAAGAAGTTTTCAATTAGTTTGTTGCTTAAATACTCACTTATTGTTTCTGTTAAGTAAGTTAGTTTTGCTTTATTTGTTTTATAGAATGGTTAATTTTGTATTTATTGGTTCTTTTGTTATGTTGTGTCTCCCTCATTTTGTCGACTTGGGTTACTCCTTCCCTTTTTAAGCAGCCTTTAGTTCTTTGTTTGCAGGTCAGTTTTTTGTTTGAGTTGGATCCTCAGTTGACCTCAGTTAAGTTGGGCCCAGATTCATGTTATTTTGTATTTAAGTTTTGTATTGCTTTTGAGCCTTTGTTAACCATTTTTACACAATTAAATGGAAGCACTTTTTCAAATTTTGAACACCTTTTGTCCTTATTTAAGTTTGGTCCCTCACAGTTGGTGTCAGAAGTGGGATCCAATCAGTTAAGTCCATTGGTTTATTTATTTTTTTTCTTCCCCTTACCTCTACAAAATTTTGAATTGACAACTTTTAGTTTTTTTTTTTCTCTCTGTCCATCTTCTCTGAGAGGAACAGTTGCCAGAAATGCCTGGAAGGGGAAGAGGAAGAACAAGAGGACCAAGTTTTGAGCCAGATGAAAAAGAGACTGCTGAGGAAAATGGAGCTGTTGGTGGAGTATGTGACATAGAAGAAGAGGGGAGTGAACCAACTTTAACCAACTTGGCTAATCTTCTCAGAACCCATATTGGACAACAAAAAGCCAAGGAGGACTACTGGATCAGAGAAGCTGCAAAACAAGACCAGAAATTTGAGGAACTGGAAAAACAGTTCAGTTTGCTTAAAAGGGACAACCTTATTGGTGATAGACTCCTACCACAGAAGAATTAAAGCTGAAATAAATGTAACGATCTTTGTTCTGGTTTTTTTTCTCTAAGTTTTCAGTTTCAAGTTCATCCAGGTTTTTTCTTGTTTTCTAGCTTTATTGGTGTGTCTGGATTCATTTAAATTAAGTGTTTTCTTTTCCCTTGGCTTCCTCATCAGCTCTAGTCACACCTGCTTCTTATCAGCTCGTTAGTCCTGCCTTTGTTCAGTCAGCCATAAATACGCTCCCTCTGCAGTCCCTCTTTGCTGGTTCCTCGTCTTACTTCATCCTACCCTGGGTCCTCATGATTGTTTCCCCTGATGTCTCCATGGTCCTGGTTTGTGTTTAATTCTTAAGTTGGATTTTTACTGCTTGGCTGCCTGTCATCCTTAATTAAACCTTCAAAGATCTCACTCCTGCCTCTCAGCTTCTGTTTTTGGGTCCTCACAAAAACCTTAAAACCAAACCCTTACAATAAATGAATGTTTTTTTTTTTTTTATTTTTTTTAAATCAAATCTTCTTGTATTTCTGTCAAATTGAACACAATAAATGTCACATTGTATGTGAAAGAAAGTTTAGAAATTAGCATTATGACGGTATTTTTTCCATCATTAAAAGGTGGCATTTTAACAAAAGTGGGAAGACTTTTAAGATCATATTTTTCAAAAAAAATCACTTCAGTTGTAGTGATCACCAAAAAAAGTTAAACTGGAGTTTGTGCAACAGATTCAGTAAAGACATGGTGGAGCAAAAAAAGTTCAGTTCCCATGATCTCAACAGCTTTAAGTGCATGTCTCCTGAAAGGCATGAATAACACTGTCATATGCAGGAGGGGGGGTATTTGAAGGAAGGAATCCTTTAAGTCCGTTGCCGCCCAGCCAAAAGGAATTTCTCTTGTTTGGGACAAGGGAAGCTGAATCCGAAGAGTCCAAAGCCACTGTGTCCTCTGACATGGTTACCTGCGTATCATCCCCCATGCCTAGGCTAGATCTGCTCTTTTTAGGCAACGGCCGAAAGGTGGACGTCTCTGCTCCAGGTTTACTCCCCAATGGGCCCACTGGCTCTAGAGAGGGCTGTCTATAAACACTCAGGAAAGTGCTTCGGTAAAGGCCAAACTGGCTTCCTGTGGGGTCACGTTGGGAATTTCGAGGTTTCTTTTTGGAGCGTCTTGTGATCCTGGCAGTAGCCCGGCGTCTTGACGCCCAAGTCAGCAGAACGTAGACCAAAGCTCCCAGCAGCAGGCCCACGAGCATAGACAAACAGAAGGCTAGAATCATATCATCTGGATAAAGAAAAAAACAATACAAAGACTCAGAGGGGGAGGCACAGATGGATCAAATAGAAATGTTTAGTAGAGTGGGAGGACGGCTGTATTGTGTTGCTCTGCAAATGGGGGGAATTATAGCCCCAGATGGAGATTTCAACTACACTTTAAACCTTCAGCCATGGAGAAAAACAGGAAGACAAGTGTTGCAGGATTGATTTAAGCGTATTGACTTATTGTTGCCACACACTGCTGAAAATGGCTACTTTTATATAAGATCTTATATCATGCACTGTGTGGGTTCACAGGCTTTATGCTGCAGTTCTACTCTGCAGAAGAATAAACTGACAAGGCTGCTACAGCAAAACAGGAAATATATCGCTGTAGATCATCATTAAGTTTTTTGAAATTTAAGATGTTCTATGGTAACTGGTTTAAAAATTATGCTAGTTTCTTAGAAATAAAAGATGCTACCGAATGACACAGAAACAGATTCATAATATAAGTTGTCATATAATGTAATAGTTATATTGATGGAAACATGTTTTGTTTTCTAGTTAGAATTTAAATCCCTTCTTATGTGCATTTACCTGAAAACCAGGAAAATAGGAATTAATTGGTTAAAAAAAAAAAAAGAAAGAAACCTGCTTGTTATCCTAATAATTTGATTAAATTTGATCAATTATTTTTCTCTTAGAGCCCTCAGTCTGTGCTTTAAATTGCATAAAACTACAACTGCTCCCTCTACATTCACATTTAATCCTACTAAATATGCAAATAAGGAAATTTTGGTTAAAAATATATATATATAATACAAAGATCCCTGCAAAAAACAAGTTAAGATCCACTTACCGAGATTGAATGATTTTAATATTTCCAAAAATGGATCTGTTTCATTTTGGGCCATTTTCCAGCATGAGTTTTTTGTTTGAGCTCCACAGTGATGCACACACGTAGAAAAACTAAGCCTTTTTCCAAGTCTGGCCCCACTATCCCCACAGTGTTCACTGTGGCGGAAACCTTGCTGTCATGCTTCCTTCCCCTCCCCGGCTTTAAATTTAGTAAATGCGTTGCTTATCTTTGTGGGACATAACACTGGGAAGCAGTGTTGTTTCCTTTTGCATCATTTCCTTAGGATTTATACCTTATAACCAAAACCCTTTCATGAAAGTAGATCCTGCTTACACAATATAGAATGCACCCTATTTATGCAAAAAGTTTTGGTTGAGCAAAAGTGAACAAGATGCATCTAGAATATAACGTTTTCCCAATGTAAGACGTCTCGGAAATTATTCCAAGTGCTGAAGTTTCCTGACAGTTTCAGGAGAAGCAGACCCATAAAACTCTGCCAAACCAATACACCACCTTTAAAGTATCCATCTTAGGTCTCTGTGGGGATTTCCTTCAATTGTTGCTGTGTTCCCACTGCTCCTTTGCTCTCAGACTGAGAACATTGCAAACCTTCTTGAGTTGAGCAGCTGCAAAATCTTTCTTTCTTCTCTAGAAACATTCTCCAGTGAATCATTTTCATGTTTTTAACATTAGGTTTAAAGCAGGAGCTTTCATCCCAACTGTTACACTTATTTCCTAAGGTTTAGGGCTTTTAATGGGGAAGTCTTGATTTCACTAAAGGCATGTTATAGAGTTGTCCAGTAGGTGGCAATCAAGTCATTGAAATTAAACTGCACCTGTGAGTATTCTACATTCTGAGTGACCTTAAATGAGTTCAACTGACTATTAAAAATGAACTATAGATATTTGATTTGCATTGAATCTAAGGCATACGTTTTGCATTTCATTTTGAAATACACTGTTTATGTGTGCAAATAAACAGAATTATGAATAAGCTCCTCTTGCTCAAGCTTTTGTGACAAAGATCCTTACTTGTATGAGATTAGGAGCTCATCAAATGAGAAAAAACAAATCTCATAAAATAAAAATGTTACAAGAGCACATATGAAACCAAAAGTTATTAACCTCTTACACCCTAAGGGCGTATAAATAAATTTCTGCCTGACAA